GTTTCTGTACAGCAGGAATTCCCCTGCTTACACCTGGTGTCTCACTGATGAAGAACAAACTTCCCTCATGAGACATTTAGGGAACATAAGGAAATCAATAGCTGTTGCTGCATGTGAATCTATGAATATTCTATACATGTTACAGATAATTTAATTCTAAAGATACCTGTGTTTAGGTGGTGTTGCCTTCCTAAAATCCACACCGGCTCATCAGTTTCTGGAAATTCTTCTAAGTAGTCTGACAAAATAGTGATCTGGTTTTCATACCTAGATAAAACTGAACAGGAATACACAAAATTCAAACTCCATTTTATCCCGTTGTTCTTTTATGCACAACTTGGAGCTCTCAAACTGAACTAGTTTGTAGTAAGTCTTTGCAGCCTGTGGGGCTTCGGAGCAGTGCTGCCAGCTGCTTTTAATTGTCTCCCTTAAAAGCTGTTCTGACACTGAAATAGCCAATGCCTTGGTTTTTATTTAGTTCCTCAGTGAGTGCTGAGAGAACACCAGGAATAACACCTTTAGAAGCAGTCTCACTGAAGCCAGTGACAGAAGTTCAAGATGACTGCAGCGAGGATGAGATTTGATTCAAGATAATGATAAAAGGAAAAAAAAAAAAATCAGGCACCACAACTTGATCTGAAACGTAGAAAAAATACCAATCAAAGTGATTATGACCTCATGCTTAATGGAAAGCATGTGAGAAGCGTTAGCAAGACTGGGCTTTACTTTCCGAACTGGAGATTTGAATCACTTCAGAAAAAAAACAGATGTATTAATGTTATTATTCAACACCACATCTGTTTAGTGAAAAATAACAAATTATAATTAATAATACCAAAATAACACAGCCTAACAATTTTCTAGATCATTAAAATGGTGCTTTTTGGAAGAGTGCAACAACCCTTCAAGTATAAAAAATTAATGTAAAATCATATATATTAAGTAATATTCAATTTAAAAAAAATATACATTCCAACAATCAAAAGGGAGCTGCAGCACCCTCTGGCTGGAGCACCGAGGCCACTGCCGAGCCCCGACGTTCAGCGTCCCCGCAGGCAGTGGTTAAACACCAGGACAGGCTCCTCTAGGGCTGGCAGCTCAGCAAAACAACTCCTCGCACCGTGCTCTGCACCCTCCGACAGAAATGCCATCGCTCACTGCACTCCGAGAGCAAATTGTCTGCGTTTTACTCCAACGACTTAAGACACTCTCGACCCTCGAAATCCAACCGGAGGCACCTGCCCCCCCTTCGCAGCCGAGGTACGACACCTCGGACCGCTTGTGCAGGTACGGCCAGGGCTCCTTTCCCTCGCCAGCGTCTCCTTTCCCCTCCCGACGCTTCCCCCGAGCTGCGGGGCAGGCAGCCCCGGCTCCGGCCCGGCTCAGCCGCCCCGCGCCCCGGCCGAGCCCCTCACGCCCGGCCCGGCAGAGGCCGCGGGACCCCAAGCTCCAGGCGACCCCTCAGGGCGGATCGCGCCGCGCCGCCGCGCCAGCCCCCGCCCCTCAGCCCGCGGGCGTCTCCCGCCGCCGGCAGCCCCGCTGCATGCCCGGAGCCCCGGCCTAGCCCCGCAGCGCCGCCCCGCCTGCCGTGCCCGCGCCCCGCGCCCCTCACCGGCCTCCATCCTCCCGCTGTCACCATCCTCCTCCCCTTCGCCCCGACACGGAGGCACAACACGGCCGCGCCGCGGGGCGCCCTGGGAGTTGCAGTCCTGCCGCCGGCCGGGAGCGCACCGCCCCCCTTCCGCGGGACTACAAACCCCAGCAGCCCTCGCGGCCCGAGCGGCGAGAGGCGCAGACGGGCAGGCGCGATTGGCTGGACGGGGCGCCGGCGCCCTCCTGATTGGCGGCTGGCGGTGTTGGTCCCGCCCCGCGGGCGGGTGGCAGCATGGAGGGCGCGGTGTCGGACGTGGCCGTGTGTAACCTGGCGTTCGCGGGGCGCCTCGAGGAGCTGCGGGCGCTGCTGCTCCGCGACAGGGCCCAGGCCACGCGGCCCGACCAGGTCAGCCGGCCGCGGCCCCGGGCGGCTCCTGCCAGCCGCTGCCCGTCCTTGTCCCGCTCACCGCTTCCCTCCCGCAGGATCACCGCACGGCGCTGCACTGGGCCTGCTCGGCGGGACACACGGACGTGGCGGACCTCCTGCTCGGGCTCGGCGTGCCTGTGAACGACAAGGACGATGTGAGTGCCGGGTTCCCCGCTGCGGCCGAGGTCCGGGTGCGCAGGTGCTGCCGGCCCGCTGCTGTGTGGTTCCAGCGCGGAGGGGCCCTGAGAGCGGCCGGGGGCAGCAGCCGGGGCCGCTCCCGGGGCCGCTCCCGGGGCCTCTTACTCCGCTCCCTTCTCGCCCTCCTGCCCCTTCTCCCGTGCGCCCAGCGCCGCGTCCGGCACTTGGGCAGATCCAGGCTGCTCTGTGTGCTCGGGAAGGGCACGAGGAAGAGATTTGAGACCTGCTTGTTGTCCCGGAACTTTAGGAGAGCTGTGCTTATGAAGGAAGGTGCAAAAAACAGGGGTTTTTGGGTAGTTCTTGGGGTTTTCACGTTACCTTTATCTCTGTGTGATCTCTCAGATGTGTTTTGCCAAATCATCAGGCACCCTGAAGATTTCTCACATTGGGGAGGGTCTTAAAGCCGGTGCAGGTTCAGTGATTTCACAGTTGGAAGGGAGATGGCCTGCTCCTGTTCTAGAGGAAGAGTTGAAATATTTGTATCCAGTACAAAGCATCTTAAATGTCATCCATAGAGAACGAAATGTCTCATCAGTGTAGAGAGTAGGTTATAGAAAAAGTTGCAGAAACTTTTTTAACACCCTTTTCTACTACTGCTGTTTGTTCTTAAAAAGGCACTAGTGTAAATTCTGCAGAGACAAAGTTCTGCAAGATACCATGCACAACTGCATAGCAGAGGTGATTTCTGTCGTTTAACTGGCAGCTTTTTCCAGATACTGCATGCAGGCATGTAAGAAGACATGAGCCTTGTGTCTAGTGAAAATCAGTAATATTTTAGCTTTACACTGGTAAGAGTATGAGCAATCCTAAGTAGTTCAGATTTGTCTGGGTTATGCATTATCATGTTTTTCTGCCTGAAACTCATGGTTTGAATAATGTGGATTTCCTCTTGCCTCTGTAGGCTGGTTGGACTCCTCTGCACATTGCTGCTTCAGCAGGCCGTGATGAAATTGTGAAAGCCCTCATTGCTAAGGGTGCTCATGTAAATGCTGTCAATCAGAATGGCTGCACCCCCCTGCATTATGCAGCCTCCAAAAATAAGCAGGAGGTATGTTTACCTAAGCTACTGGAGCTGGTGGTGTTCTTGGAAGAAGGATTTAGGTCTGTTAAGCCCACAACCTCCTCCCATGCTCCTTTCTCTTTCAATATACTCAGATTGCAGTCATGCTTTTGGAGAATGGAGCAAATCCAGATGCAACAGATCATTTTGAATCCACCCCGTTACACAGAGCGGCAGCCAAAGGAAACCTAAAAATGGTCCAGATCCTTGTGCAGCACAACGCCACTCTGGATATACGGGACTCTGAAGGGAATACTCCTCTGTAAGTAAATTTTTATTTTTATTTTGCTTAATATAGCATAATCTTTGTGAAATGCAACTCCATTACTTCAATGTCCTTTTATTTTTATAATTTTTTGTTGCTGCAAAATACACTCTTGCTTCCCATCCCTATGCAATTGAGGAGTATTTGAGAAAGTCATACTTAGTATTTTGCCATAGTGGTCAGTACATGCATACATTAACTTGTGTTACTGCATCCACTTAAAGAGTGTAGAACATGTTTTTTATTAATCTGGAATACATTTGTTGCTGCTACAGGGTAGAAAGTGAGCTAATGACATCAGAGTCAGAGGAAACTGGTCTTGCAGGCTGGTCTACTCTGTCCTGCCAAGCAAGAACTCATTTCAGAAGCTTTTCTTCACCTCTCTAAAGAAAATAAGTTGCAATTGAAATACAATCAGCCCAGTGTTTATTGTTACCTTAGGGATCAATTTGAATCTGTAAGGGTTACAGATATTTTGAAGTTGGTGTCAAAACCACAGTGGAATCCAGATTTTGCTGTGAATAAGACCAAGCAGTAAGTTTTAGCTGTACATAAACCCCAGTATGGCCCTGGAATGCACACAGTTCTTCCTAGGACACTGTGCCAAATGGAAAAAAGCATTTGCTGCATTTGCAGTAACTCATTATTTTGTACCATCAGACAATTTATTTATCACCTTCAATTTAATAGAGATTGCCATTTTCCATTCTCACCATGGATTATGTTCTCTTTAGCTTTGCTGACTGCATAGCCAAATCCTAACCCAAAGACCTGTCTTAACATTGCAAGGAGAGCAGCAGGAGGAATGTTCTTGAGTTGCTTAATGATGACAGAGGGACTGGACAGCAAGCTTTGGAATCTGTCTAGGTAGTTGGCTGCTTGTGGATTTGTTGTTCTCAGATGTATCTCCCCCCAACATTCACACTGTCATTTTGACATGGTGTAATTATTGCTCTTTAAAAGCTTGGACAGTTTAACAGTGGCTGTGGATTTCTTGTTCTCCCTGCAGTCATTTAGCCTGCGATGAAGAGAGAGTGGAGGAGGCAAAGCTGCTGGTGTCTCATGGTGCAAGTATTCATATTGAGAATAAAGAAGAGCTGACCCCTCTGAAAGTGGCAAAGGGTGGCCTGGGAGCCATCCTTAAAAGAATGGTGGAAGGCTAGAGCGGGCTTCCCACTTGAGTCTCTCTCCTGTTGCACTTCTAATTAGGATTGCAAACTTCATATTTTGATAGCTCATCAAGATGTCACGTATGGTATCAGCATGGTAATGAAATGTTTTTATTGAAGCTGTCCTTCAAGTGCAGTGCCAAAACAAGTCTTTGTACTTCCTGTTAATTAAATAGTTCACTGATTTTAAAGTATTTTTCAATATCTTGCAGTTTTCTTTCAGTTTACAGTGTGATGTGTATAAGTGTGGTATTCCTTCTACTTCAGATCTCAGTTTAGAATTATTTCTTTCAAGAAACAGGACCAAAAATGTTTTAACCATTTAAAGCCAATTTTTATTTTCTTCTAGAGTCTTTGTTTTTTCTCTTAGCCTTTGTGATTTTTGTGTGGGGTTTTGTCTGTGTTTTGTGGGTACCAATTGTCTTTCTCCAGATGATTCTAAGCTACACTGTATTTCTCTTTGTAGAGTGCAGTTTGCTTAGTTACTTAGATAATTGTATCCATTTTGCTACTCGTGGTGTATTAAGTGAAATCTGAGTGTTTATACCTGTTCTGTTACTGGTTGTTACCCTGTTTTTCCCTGAGTCTTTAAATACGTGTATTTGATGAAGTGCACTGGACTGCTTGCAGAATGCAGGCCCAGTTTCAGGGTTCTCTCTTCAAATACACTGTTTTATAGTGGATGGCTCTGGATACTCCTCTGGGATGTACTTCAACTTCAATATTTTTCTTCTTGTTCCTTTTGTAGGTTTCTTTTTCTGTTCTCTTTTATTCCCATATGCAGCACTGACACTTGCAGATTACCATATTATTTTGTAACAGAAGCCTGGTTTAAACTTATTTACTCATAGGAAATCCTGCTATTAAGTTATTACAAGGCAGAGCTAACAAGATAGAGCCTGAAAAGTGTCCTTCTGTCATGATGTTGTTAAAATAATTTTTGGCATCAGTGGATAGATTTCCCCTTGAATAAAGAATGAAATTCTGTGAAATAAAAAACTTTCCTAAACAACAGTCTTTGGTATTATAAAACTTTATTAAACTTACATATAAGAAAACCAGTATTTTCTAAATAGCTTGTATGTTTGGGATGTGAACAATAAGGAGAAACCTTGCCTCCGTTACACAGTATGGAAATGCAACATATTTGATCTTTAGCCTCAAGGATGTGGTGAAATGCAAGCTGGCAGTTTCTACAGTTTGTAGGGATTAAGGTAATGCAATTTATTTTGGTAAGCAAGACAGAAACTTAGAACCAAACAAATACCTTCACCAAGGACTTTAAATGTATCTTGGAACACAAAATGCAGGTTAAATTTCACTGAGGGGACTCATTAAGAACAGGGGGGATAACTTGCCTGTACAGTAAACTCTGGCCATGCAGACCTTGATTGAAGGAGGAACGCAACTGAGTAAATGTTTCTTGTATATTGCACAGGCATGGCTGAAAATTTGATTGGAGAGCAGCTGAAGCTAAGAGTTCTGTGTTCATTCTTGATCTTTGTATGGCAAAAAACCCTGCTCTGTAGCTTTGTAAATCTGCTTCCTTAGGAGATGGTGGCTTGAATGTTGGCTTAATTTCTGGTGTCCATATTAATGATCCCTAATCCCTATGGGAAGATAGATGGGCCATGCAGCACAGAGTGTTGGAACATCTAAAGCTAAGTCTGAAAAATGTTTATGCATCCTGCATAGCTCTGTATGGCTTTAGAGCTACACACCGTGGATCAGTACCTAATTGGACTTGTGCTTTGCCAAGGGTATCAGTGGGAAGCTGGGAATGGTGCCCCATCCTTCTTAATAAACTGTAGATAAACACCAAAATGAGAACAAACATCTGCCAGAAGGCTTACAGAAAGCACCACACTATGGTAAGAAACTCCAAACACATGTTATTTTCCTTATCTCCTTACTCTCAGCAGCCTGTTTCGCTTCTTATTTTGCCTTTTTACTACCATCTATGCTCACTGGTGGTTAGAAGTATGAGAAGAATCATTAGCAAGAATATGGTCAATTGTTCCTTTCTTTTATATAAAAACTTAAACATGAGCAATTTCTACTTTTTGAACAAATATAAAACCTGTGCTGTTTGAGGAAGACTGTACTATCTATAGAAGTTAGTGACAACTTCACCAGCATATGCTCCTATCGTACTGTAGCAAGTTAGGTAAGGAATACTAACAGATAAATGTGGGAAGTGAGATGAAGGAAAGATTAAAAGAAATATGACCACGTAATAGAGTCCCCTCTTCAATCACAATAGTGCTGTTGCAGAGATGTGGAAGCTGGAAAGGTGTAGCAGTAAGAACAATGTGATAAGATCACATACATACAGAAAATGGCATTAGAACTAATACAGCAACAGCAGTTACATGAAAACATTAATCTTTTCCTGTGAAGGGCAAGAGTAAAAGAATGCTTAGGAATGTCAGATAAATTATTTAAAATTATTGCTGCTGTCAGCCAAGCCTTTGGACCAATAATTGATTTGAATTATATTGTCAGGAAACACCTTCAGAAAGACATAGTACCCAAAGAACAGCAGGTAGTACTGAGTGTTCCTTTGCTGTTTCTGATAGTGCTTAACGTCATCATCCTGCAGGTCTACACAAATTGGCTGTCAATATCAGATATTTTCAGTAAGCTGCTTAACGTGGATAGCAGGATGTGAGTTAGGAATTTGGCCTGGCACAGTCAGTAAGAGCTGCCTGATTAAGGAGACTTCTGTGTGGATCCCAGTTTGAGATTTACCCTGGATATTTTGGGGAGAGGAGTCTGAGGATCCATTGCTATAACATGGCAGTATTGGTATTAGCAAGGTATTAGCAAGGTATTAGCAATTGGTATTAACAAGCAAAACCCTCACAGTTTTTGGCTAAAATAGTGTTAGAAGAATACCATTAATGCTCTTTTACTTTGGAATGAAGCTAAACACTTTGATGGGACACACCTATCAAGGAAAAATATTTGGACATCAGAAAACTGAGGAAAGAGCAATGAATATAGTTATGCTTGAAGATCCAAAATAAATAATAACTAGGGTCTCATGCCTTATATCTTTAAATATTGACATACATTTTTTTTCCTTTTATCTTTGTTTTTTTCAACTCAGTATTTTGATAAACATACTTAGAGTTGTAGAAGCTGAAGCCGAAAATTTTTGCCCAGAAATCTTAAAGATAAATGTTGCATATAACTAATGTGTATAGTCTAGGAACAGTCACTAAAGGATTTATGAATATTAGATCCTATGAAAGACTTAAGTGCCATAAAACTTGAGATCCCTGAGCCAGATATGTTTTCCTGCAGTGCATGAGACTGAAACCAGTGTCTACCTGTTATCAGCAAGGGTGTGGGTCTTTATTTGTCTAAGCCCCATGGTCCTTGAGCTTTTCTGAAAGTATTATCTTTGCCTTTATGAAAAACTGACTTTGTATAACCTTAGAAATGAGGCCCAGGGAGAAGGGTTGTCTAGTTACCCAGGTGTGTGTGGTTCAATTCCCTTTCCTTCTTCCAAGGGGTGCTCTCTGCTCTACTGCTGTCAGTTTGCTTTGCACCACTTACCTTCCCTCTTGATGCTTTCCTCTCTAGAAGATAGATTGTTACACTGGGATAAGAGACCAGAAGAAAAGTAGCGTGAGTTTGTTGCTTAGTGGGTAGGACAAGCCTGGAAAGAGATTTAAATCATCTCAGACAGAGGAAGGAATCAAAACTGATGTGCTGCATAGAAAGCAGTATCGCTGCTAAGTTTTGAAAGCAGCTATATCTGTGTGTCATGAGGAATGTGATGCTCTGCATACCTATTGGAACAAGCCTTGCAAAGGATTTAAATCTCCAGCTCCTGTTGTGTAAAACAGTTATTTGTGTCTGAACTGGGTACCCAAATGCCAGTTCCATTAAACTGAAAACCAGAATTGCTGAAACAGACAACTCTGGAATGCTGGTGCCCTTGGGAGCTCTAAGCCAAGAAGGTCACTGTTAACAGAATGTTTTCCATGTCAGGGAGCAACAGGGTAAAATTTTCCAGGATTTTCTTTTTTAGCTTAGGTAGAATTCAGACACACAAGATTTCCTTGACTCAGGTCTTAACATCTGTTAAGATGTCAACAGCCGTTTCAGCATTCTGATGGCATTAATGTAACTTCTTTTTACTTCTGATGTGCAAAATCAGTTCCTTGAAACACTGCAATGTATTGGCCATGATTACTCTTCTGGGTGCACACAAAGCAGGTTGGCTAACACTGTTTCTGGACAAGGCTGCTGTGGTTCTGAACTGTGTGGACACACAGCATTACTGGTAGTTGACTGGAAAGCTCTTACTTTGATAAATGCTTCAGCCCATTTCCTAATTAGTTTTGCAAAACAGGTTGATGTAAATGATACTCTTCTTATACTTAAATTTTTGTACAGTATAAAACTAGATAATAAAAGAAATTTGGTTCACTTTAAAGGCTAAATCTTCTGCTCTTAACAAAGTGCCTGTGTAACAGACCCTTCTTGATTCACCCCAGGGGGTCACAATAAAAATGCCTTGAATGCAAGTTTTAGTCATGCTTCTATGTTAATTCAATGACAACAATTTTTGTATAAGGGGTCCAAAGGTGACAAAGAAAACTCTATTATAAATTCTAGGCTATTTCTTCTTTTTCTGCTTCTTGTTTCTCATCATTTTCAGGTGTTGCAGGAGCTGCTGTTTCATCAACACTTGGGTATTCATTTGTTGCATTGCTCGATGGAACTGTGGTCACAGGAATGTTTTCTTCATTGGGTACCTGAACATAGTCTGCATTGGATTGTTTCTGAACCATTTCTCTGCAGAAAGACAGAATTAGGATTGTGATCTCACATGCTGAAATCCCATGTACACTAGAGTCTTTCAAATTAATGAATCTTTGTATTTGCTATCTGAACAGTAACCCCCATGTTATGATGACTGTTTCAAGATTGTGTGAAAAGGTTACAGCACCATGGTGCTGAGGTAGGAAGAGTGACAGCTAGAAAGACATCTGCATTGCTGGTTTAAGCAATTCCATTAGAGTAAAATGGATTTTAGTATGTTTAAATGTTATGCCAAGAAAGTGGAAAGGGAAACTGAGTGCTGGCAGCATCTGAGGAGTGATAGCAAAACTTGCTGCTTCATGTGAGCTTTCTGGGAAATTCCATGTAGATCTGGGGTCCCATTGAATTACATGAAAAATAGAGTTCAGTCAGAAAAGAATTATGAAAAGACTAAAATCTGGAAAGGTAATATAAAATATATTTAGTATTTTAGAAAATATGGAAATCTAGAAAAATATTTTTAGTAACAGGTATTAATTAAATTTATCTTATCAAAACGATAATAAACCAACTCCCAGTACAGAAGCACTTTCACATGGTAAAAAATATCAGATGCTAGTGGATTAACTCAATGCAGTAAGATTTATTAGGATCCAAGTACAAAACTAGGTGTTAATGCTACATCAGTTGAAAGCAGAAATCAGGTGCATGAGCGACTGATCACTGGTCTGGGTTAGCAGAATTCCATATTAGGAAGTCTTAAACCTGTGCTACAGGGAAGTCACAGGTTTTTTTCTGGCCTCAGCTATATGTAGTTATTTAGCATTTTACATCAATTGTATGAATACAGTCTGTATAGTGCATGAGTTTATCCCTATTCTGAAGATTTGGCAATTTAAGGGAAAAATGAGCAACCAAAGCACAGAGAAGAAACCATCTCCAGGGCAGGATCAAAATGGACATTCTGGGCTCCATTCTGTTGTCTAAACCTTGTGTTTCCTGCAATCTGAGATGCCTGGGAGCATCCCAAGTGTGTGTCCTGTAATTTCAGATAGCACTGACCTGAGTCCTCTGTGTTTAAATATCAGTACATTTCCTGAGGTGACCCTTAGTTGCTCGTTCTTTTTTTACTTCCTCCACCTGCTTTTAACAGACTCCATTAACTTTAAATCTAAAGAGCTGTTTTTATAACTTGCCACTTTAGTTTGTATTGTTTAAAAACATTTACTTCACTGTTTCAGATACTGCTAAGTGGTAGCTGCCTGTTAAAATAGGGAAGAGGGCAATGACACCTTCTGTTAAAAGAGCAACTGGTAAAAAGTCCCCCAAAAGCCGATGTTAACTCTGGAAGTTTCCTCAAATCTTGTATTATGCATTTTACTTTAGTTCTGGATTAGCAGCAGTGCTTTACAGAAATACTTGTCTTAAAATGAAGTAAACAGAAATTCTTACTGCATCTCATTATTTGGTGACTTCCTATTTTTTGCCTTCTTGGTTAAGACCCAGACGATAATGCAGATTATAGCAGCTGCCAGAATTGCCCCAATCAGTGCTCCAGCAACAATACCACCATCTGAATCTGCAAAGGAAAGAAAAAGATTTCTTGACTTTTAAAGAAGTAGTAATATAGCTAAATCCCATGGAAATTTAGTGCAGGAGCCTTTAGCAGAAAGAAGGCATTGGATTCAAATAACTCTTTGCAGGAGGGTGGCAAAGATGCTCCAGGAAAGTGAGAGCTCTGTGCTCAGGTGGTCTTTGCTGCCTCTTTCTCATGGGGTAGCTCCCTATCCCAACAAACTGCCTGTTTATGCCAGGCTAAGGGAATCATTGGGCTGTAGTACTGACAAGAGGGAAAAGCCTTTGCTTTTCAATCATTGCAAACACATCCTGAAATCCAGGTTGCCTTTAGTTTTGTCTTTCAGCTAGTGGTCACATCTACAGTGCCCCAGTCCTTGTACTACCACGTTTCACTGATGGTTGTAATTTCTGGGGAGGGGAGACCTCAGTGAGATTGTTGGTTGGAAGAAACTGCTCAGAACTCCTTGTCTTCTGTTCTCAGTAAAGACTCTGCAGTCAGAACCAGATCCAGCTCCTGCTCCTTGCAGGAAATCAAGGTGAGGATGTTAAATCAGTTTTCTAGGTCATTGTAAAGTCCAGGCAGGCCTGCATGAAAACTCCAGAGCTCTCAAAATCCTGTTCTTACTTGAAAAAAAAACAAATCTAAGCTTCAAAATTGATGAAGAATTTTCCTGCAAGCTGTGTAGGTCCTCCATCAAATATGTGATGGCATTAATGTATTTTACTTACATTTTGCTGTTAGGTCAAGCTCACAGGTGCTGTTCCCCAGGAGGTTGCTGGCTATGCACCGATAGTAGCCAGTTTCAAAGGTGGTGAGGTTGCCAATGTAAAGGATGCCAGTGTTTGGATCTGTGACAAGTGAGGAGCAGGTACACATTATTATTTGTATTCTGTAGAGGCAAACAGTTCTCTGTAGTGGGTAACACAGAGCTATTCAGATATTAGAAAAAGAGTTCACCAATTACTGATTTATTTGCGTGTTTTTTTAATATTCTTTAAAATAAAATGTTTACCTTCCTTGAAAATTGCTCCAGTAGATTCTTTAGGGGTGTATTAGAAACCCCTACTCTGCCAACCAGTCTGGCTGATCTTTTACCCACACTGATACTATGGTTGTCTGTGTGATTCCACAAATGAAAATGTAACAGGTCCAGAAAATTTCTGGGAGGGAAGGATGTGCTATTACTTGAATGACTAATTGATTCAACTTAAATTCACTCAAAATTTCAAGGGAAGAGAGGTGTAAAGACATAAATATTTCTCTCATTTTAACATTTTAAGGACATCAACAGGACTTCAACTTTTTTTTTTTTTTTTAATGTATTAAATAGAAAAAACATTCTGTGGTTTTGACAGCTGTCAGTTGTTCTGAGTAAGTAAAAATACAATTCTGTGACATTGACTATTGGAAGAGGAGGATTAATTTTAATTAGCTTATGTGATACACAGCATTAGAAATGCTGGAATTTCAGATCCTGAGCATGGAATGTTAGTCCTGTAGTTACATACCGAGTTGTTCTGTCACAGGCTTGAGGGTGTTCCCATCAACTTTGTACCAGCGGTAGGTGGGGCGAGGCAATCCCTCTTCACAGTTGCATAGGAGGTAGATCAGATGGCCTTTTTCAGGAGTTCCTTCTACTTTGCAGAAAGGTTTTGATGGTTTGACTGTAAAATAAGAACAGGCACAATCAGGAGTGCACACCTGGGCTGCAAACATCCACCTCAAGTTCTGGTACCATGCTGCTCTGAGCAAAGACCTGAGTCCCATCTACAGGTTTCCATCCAAGAGCAGAGTCTCATTTATGGAACTGATCAAAACCTCTCCCAGTAAAAAACTGAGTAACATTAAATATATGTACATGGCCTAGGATACAGTTTTATTGTCTTCCATTTGCATATTAACTGTTAGGGAGGTATTGAGACTACAACTATCAATTATTTTCATTGTAATGGGCCACTCCCTATTCACCATGCACCGTTCTGCCACACAGCAGCATCATTTTCTTCAGAGACATGGCAGGAGCTTTTCCACAGAGAGGGAGAGGATCAAGGCCCAGTTCTTTCAGTATATTAACAGTTGTGAAGGAAATAAATCAGCTATAGTTCTGTTAAAAAAAACCTATCTGTTTTTATATAATGTCCTCATTTTGCACAAAAGGGAAGATTCTGTCTTCACTTACACCATGGTTTTTAATTTCCTACCTCCAGATATGCTTTTGTGATTCTTTAGAACCCTGTCAAGGGAAACCACCATCAATGAACCTAGCTCAAACCAACAACTTTTCCTGGTTTTCATGTAAAAAGTGAAATCTTTTCTCAAGTGCTCCAAGATTTACTATTTATTTGGGGAATTTTAGATGAGAATTATCAGCAGTACTTTGGTTTTTCAGGAAATCAGTTTACTTATATCTTTTCCTTATCCCTAGAAGATAGGCAAGTGATGTTGGAATCACATTCCCATATGTCTGTGATTTGTCACTCTGATCAGGTATGAATTCTCATGATAAAAGGAATTATTATACAGGGTTAGTACAATCTTATTAGGAAATAAAATATCTAATTCCACTGCTTTTCATCCTTTCTGTTCTGTCTGTTCATGGTTGAACTATTGCTTTCTTCTACACAAAACAAACTTTGTACTTCTTTCAATCAACAATACTAAGTTTCTAGAGGTTTTGGGAATTGATGTGAGTCAGAACTCTTGGGCTGTGCTGCTTCTTCTCCCTAGATTTATGCAAGTCACCATGATCAACATTAGGTAAAATTAGTGAAGTTTTGGACTGTGCTGGGCTGCATGTAATAGTTTTAGTGAAAAGTTGGCACTCCCAGCTAAAATGATGTTTTATTTTAACCAAAACTAGTATCACTTTGTTTTCCAGTTTGAAAAATGGAGTGAGGTTGGGTAATTCTAGCCACCCTCATACCTGCTTCCATAAGGGAAGGTTTTGAGCGCACAAAGTGACTCTGAAGGGCAGTGGTGGGAGAGTGAGATGTGATGCAGTTCGGGCACAGGCAGCTGTGGAGTGGAAGCAGGTCAGCTGTGCTGGAAGCTAGAGGGCAGCCAGGCTCTGCCTGCCTCCAGAGCCCTTGCAAGCACTGCAGCAGTGACTCAGGGAGCTTCCTCTGCATCGTGGGCCTTGTTTACCACTGCCTGTTATTCCCTCTGGCCCTACGCATTTTGAGCTGTGAATTCAGTGTTTCATAATATGGGATGAAAAAGACAATACAGCAATAGAGAGGGGAGGCACTTACCCAGCACATTGACAATCATAGATTTTTGACTCTGTCCAGCATCACCTTGAGGGCTGAAAACCTCACAGGTGTAGGAACCAGTGTCTGAGGGCTGCATGTTGGAGATTGTTATTGATGCATTCCCTGGACTTGTTGAAGCTGTTACCCTGTTCTTAAATGCGCCATAGGAGTAAGACTGGCCTCCTGAATAATAATAGATCTGTGATAAAGAAACAATTGTTAGTTTAATAACAAAAGATCTTCTTGCTGCTTTGTTTGGTACTCAGAATATCTGATTAAAGCCAAGCAATGTCACTCCCTTTCTTGCCTCCTCTCCCAAGAAAGCAGGAATGAAAACATAGTACATTTCAATACCTACTTCTAAAGCTTCTTAAAAGACAAGCTTTCCAGAAATGGTATTTTTAATTGTGTAATTGGCAGTAGCTAAGTCTTTGTGGATACCCCAAGCTCAGACTGATGCAATTGCAAAAACAAAAGCGAGACCATTGACAATCATGACAATTTTGTGAAAAAATGCTAAGTCATGCACAGTGAATAATGATATTAAGTGAAGCACTGATAATTTGTGATAGCATTAATAAGCGGTTCAGTAGAAGATTATGACAAGGAGGGACCTGTCATTGGAAAAAGTGGGTGGCTGCAGAGCTTTCCAAATACAGAATCTGGCAAACAGAGGACTGAAATGAATTCACAAGACAAAGGCCTAAGCAAACAAGGCACCTGATCTGTTGGTAGTAAATTTGAAAGCCATGAGGATTCAGTACAAGAACAGAGCAGAGTCATCACACATGCAATTAGAGCAGCCATGCTGTTGTTTGTGTCATCAGCTTTGGAGGCAGTGTCATGGACTGTCTTGGTTTTTTGAATTTATATCAGGCAGGAAGTGAAAAATACCTGCTGGCCTCATTGCTTGGGGGATTCCTATTTGGGATCAAGAAGTTCCCCTTTTACTAAATAGTAAAAAAATGATTTGCCAAATTATAGGCATAGTAAGGATGGAAGTTTTTAAGGAATGCAGCATTTCCTCCCCAGTAAAAATTGCTGATTTAACATTGACTGATTTCACTGACTTCAGTAGTATCAATTGCTCTTAGCAGCATTGTGGAATAGAAGCGGCCTCATAAGCCCAAAATTGTTGTCTGCTGATGGAAAGGAGAGGTAGAATTGTGTTCACTGCAGAGCCTGGATGGCAGTCTGAGCCTTGAGCCCTGAGTCTGTTTAGGAACTGCAGTATCTCATCTGCTCTGGGGTAATATAGTAGTTCTCAAGGAATGCCTGCCCTCTGTCCAGTCTAACTCTGCTCTGAAACGAAAATCTGAAACAACAAAGATGTAGAAAACTATGATTCTTGAATTGTTTTTCTGAGGTGCTAATGACAGTGTTGTAGGAAAGTGACAGTGTTTAGGTAGGCAATATGTTCCCCCAGCATCTGCATACACACACTAGGCAAAGTGAGCAGTTCAGCACACTCAGTCATTTCTCTAAACTGGTGAGAGGTGTCCATATAGAATTACAGGTTGTGACCCACATAGATCTAACATTGTTCCTGCTGGCAGTATTCCAGAATCATCAGCAAAGTTGAAGTAACAGCGTGTTTTTAAATGGAAATAGTGGGAAAATGCTTGTAGGAAAAAGTTTTACAGACTCCTCTTCCCAGGCCATTCTCACTTGACTAGTATCAAAATTTCCTTTTGGCCAAAGTTCCCTGCTTTTTAGGGATACAGCAGATCCCCAGGTGAGAAGTACAACTTGCTTTACTTTGCAGATCAACTGATTGCATTTTTGAATTAAGAATATTAATTCTTAATTCTATTTATCCTCCCTGATATGGTGTTGACTGAAGTCTTTAAGGAATGTTATCTAAAAGTCTTTATTAGCTTAAAGCAAGGTACACTCCAAAACTGTCAGAACACAACTGGTTTATGCAAAGATATGGCTTTGAAATGAAGGTCAGAATCCAGCCTGCACAGCACCAGCAGCTCCAGGACTGCAGCTTGGCCCTATCTCAGGAGCAATTTTGCATACTCCTCAGCCAGACTTTATCTTTCCCTGCCCCAGGATTACAAACACCAGGTACAATTGATGCAGGGCTCTGAACACCAAAGCATTCCCAAGGTGTGGAGCACTGCTGGTACAGTGGGGAAGCATAAGAGGTACCAGAGTCAGCTCGATGACAGACCTGGTTAGAAAGTCAGCTGAAGCTGGATACTCCTTCCAGTTTCCATTGTGTGCATACACTACCATCAGTTTTAAAACTGATTTTATGCTTTGCAAATGTCTAGAGATGGAACTCTACTGCCAAACCAGAGTCTGGATGGACACGCTATATTCCCTGGGGAAAGAAAGTGTTCAAAATAGGGAGTTTGGTTTAAGAAAATCACTCATCAAAAAAGTTGTCTAGCTGTAATTACAAAAACACACTGGCCACATTAGTCTCATTCTACATTTATCTGAGTGTGAGCAGTAGCAGACTAATATTTGTCACTGTTTCTTGCAAGAGTTTGAAGTTACAAGAACTGTGATTTCTGACTTCAGCCTCTTCTGAGGCTGATGTCCCTGGATAGCTCTCAATAGTGATGGCCTGGATTTCCATCTCCTCTCCATCAACTGCACTGTTGGAGCAGGGCAGTGAAAGGGGTTCCATGAGCTCCTTACACTGAAGCTCTACAATGATTTAAATGAAGTCAAGTGTGTCTTGCTGCAGCAAGAGAGAAGTGGCAGGCCCATCATACCCTATTAAAGGCTTGGTTATCAGAAAAAGGGGCTAAATTCTACTCAGTCTACCTGAGAGTGATCTGGGATTACGTGAATAAAGAGTAGCAGAAGGGGTCCACTGAATGCTCATTTAGATAGAGCCCATCTTCCTGAGAATAAGACTGGCACTGCACGTTGTAAATGCAGTTAGGGCATGCCAGTAAACACTGTAGAGGAGCAAATGCTCCTTGGTGTGTTTGATCTGGAGTCAGGGTGGATTACATGCTCCAGTCCTCATACAATGTGCTGAAAATTAAATCCTATGTTCTCTCTTTCTGAGTCAATTAATGTAGAGAAAATATTTTGTATACATTATTAAATCTGAGGCAGGTGCCAACAAAGCAGAGACTATTTCTTCTCTTCATAGAATCAAACAGAGTCTTACTGGATCATTTTTTATCAGCCATGAATATAAAGGCAGTGAAACATTCACAGGCAATGTATTCAGTTCCTCTGCAGGCTCCTGCCTACTCTCTGTTCTCTCCTGTTCCATGCTTATCTCCCTGGCTCTGAAGTTCATTGCCTGAAGGAAGGTGGTAAACACCAAAAAGGTTGACTAATGTTCTGATTAATTGCTGAGTGTATATCTTGTCCCAGAGGTATGATTGGGTTGTGTACACAGGAAATTTCATTTAAGAGGAATATGTTTCAGTTAATTGGTTGTGAATTCATAGTCCATTTTAAACAATACATTCAAAATGGATATTTTAAACCCTGGTTCAAAGTGGTTTTATGCTGTCCTTGAAAAGCTGGTTCTGGCTTTCAGAAAACTGATGCTTTGCAAAAGTTTTTCTGTTTTGATTCAAAAGTAAAAATATTGTTTCCTATTGAAGATATGGAAAACTTTTTTGGTTTTGGGCAACTGCCAGCTAATGTTTTCTCCTATGACACACATCATTGACTTTTCTTTGCATATTACCAAAAATGTGTGTATGGGAAAACTGTATATTTAGTCAATGGTAGACTTTTTCTGGAAACCTTTTTAATCTGGTGTGATAAATATATTTTAATTGCACCATCTTGAATGCAAAAAAATACAAAAGAAATCTGCTGTGCTCCCCTTCAAACAAAAAGCTTTTCATGTCGTCAAGCAAATCATGAGCAGCTCTAGTGAAGTTGATGATTTACCAGAGCAGAAACAAGATCGAGGGTGCATTGATGGCTGTTACTCCTCCTTACCAGCTAGTTTGTTCAGGCAAGTCATATAATATATGGTGCCTTTTCACATTTCATGGAAGCAGCTGCCTGGGTGACTAATCAAACAACTGAGAAAAAAGGAGTGGAGATTATCACTCCTAAAACTGTTTTCCCTAATAACTTCATAATCTGAGTCACAAGTTTCTGCTAAACAGCAAAGTTGCCCAAAGACATCTCTGACCTTAGAAAGGGTTGCATTTTGCTGGTTGTGGGCCAGGCAGTGCCTAGAGCTGCTGTCTCTGGCCATCCTTCCAGGCCTTCTGAGGCCGTGCTGTGCTTACCCTTCATGTCCACAGGCAGTTTCTCCTGTGATGGTGGAGAATGAATTTGCCTGCAGAGGAAGCAGTCAGCAGAGCTGAGGCTGAGTTGAGGACTTCAAAGGCTGCCAGATGTTCAGCAATGTGAGGAACCCACCTAGAGGTTTTTGTTGTACAACTTCTGTAGAAAGATCTTCCTTAGGGTGTGAAGGGTGTGTGTGAATAAGCAGGGAGGAAATGAGAAGAATCATGCCTCCCTCTGCTTCTCTTCTTCTTCTGACAGGACAAATATATACTAGAATTTGTGTAAATATGTGTCTTTCAGATGGTTTTGGATGGACTCCTTCATAATTTCCAGGTCAATACTCCTCCCATCCCCATCTCCTGGAGTCACTGCATCACAATGCTATACATGCCTAGTACTTATGGATATTGAAGTTATGAGATGCACTTGAAGAGGCATTACAAAGTGTCCTGTTTCATCTCCACAGAATCTCGACTTCCTGACTGGAGGACAGTTTCAGGACATGACCTCTTTTCCAGTATCTGTCTTTCCTCCCCCAGTCTCTTCTCCCTTTCCCCCACCAGCACATGTAAAGCTCCAGGATCCTGTTGGATGACGTTTTTCTGATGGATTCAGTGTGTGACTCACAGCCTTTGCCTGGAGAGCTGGAAAGCTCCAGCATCCTGAGGGCCCTGTCACTGTTTGTCATTTTCTGTTTGACATTTCTTAAGCTACTAGAAAATGGAGGATATTAATGACTTTACTGGTTTGAGATTGTGATCTCTTTTTGAATTCTGAGGACAGACAGAATTTATAAAATAACAAGGGGGGAAAATGTTCATCACTTCCTTAAGCATCTTACCATCTAATGAGAGAACAAATGCCACACAGTCAGAGTGTTAATGAAGGCCCAAAGCTCAGATTCTGAACTAAGAAAGCAAATGTCCACACATATATGTTCACACATATGTTGGTTTCTTTGACACATGTCACATGGCTGAGTCTGGGCCCAAATCCCTTATTTCATTCACAGCTTCTTTTCACACATTTTTGTCAAAACTCTGATCTGCCAGAAGGTAGCAGGGATATTATAGGGATATCCCTTACTGGGCTTTTTGCACTGGGAATTGAAGATATTAACCATGACAAGAAGTGTCTTGTCACAATAGTGCATTGGTAGAAGAAGAAAGGGAGGGAGTCAGAAGTCTTTAGAGGATTAATCATTCAGCAGCTTTAACTGATGCAAATATATTGAAGGAGCAGCTCTTTCATGTTCTCACAGTATCAATCTTGTGGCTGAACTATTAGTGAACAATTCCCATCAAGAACAAATGTGTTTTCTTAGTGCATTTGGTGTAACTGCTCTTCAGCAGTTATTATTAGATGTCAGTTTACATTGGCTGTACCCTGTACCTCCTGGTGAGATAGGAACACTGCTGCAGTCAGAGAGTTTGGGATGGATTATGGCTGGAGCATTGAGCTGAGAGCTGAGAGGAAGCTGGTTCAGCTCAGTGTCCTTAGTAGCCATCACATCTCAAAATGGTTTTATATTCTAGAAAGGAGATCCAGGATGATTTTCTTTTTTTTCTATGTAAATATGTAGCCCCAAGTTTGGGCTGTCCAGTCTTGCTCACATTCAGCCCAGAGGCTCCTTGTGGCTGCACACACCCTTCAGATACCCTTTGGGTAGAATATTCCTGAAGGTGCAAGTTCAGCCACCTAGAATTCCCCAACACAACAGCTACATCCAAAATAATTTTGACATAGAAAAATGCAATAAAAAATAGGGTGAGTTAAAAATTCTGGATAATGCATCAGATTCAACTTATTTCAGTCATGTGCTGGTTGTGAGGTTTCAATACAGAATATGAATACAGGTTTCACAGTAGCATAAATCTAGTAGAAGCTATTTAGCTCTGTTTCCCCCTTAAGATTATGGGGATTGTTTTCTTACCTTGTATCTCCAGCTACATCTTCCCCGTGCATCTGTCACATACACCGTCTTTTGACAAAGACTGACTGACTTTTCATCCATACTCAGAATACCATGGCACGGGTAATGCTGTATTTGAGCAAAAATGTGCTGATCTGAGAGTTAAATGAGACTTTCAATGTTCCCCCAAAATCAAAGAGCCATTTCTCCACACAGCTCCCCACCTACCATCCATGCTGATCACAAGGCCAGAGTGCCTCATGTTCAGTGTTTTGTGCAGAAAGTGTCTCAGGCCTTGTCAACCACAGGATGAAACAAGCTTATTCCTAAATTCTACCTAAAATTAGGCAAACTAAGATTAAAATCTAAAGTCTGCTCCAAACACCCCCGTTGCAACCTGATTATTTTCTTCTTGTCTGCACTTCCCTTTGTGATAACCACAGGCAGCCCCCCATAGTCCCACTGACATCCAGAGTCACTCCAACAGCAGTGACAACAGCAGCTCCTTTCCTCTGCTCTGGAGGTGTTGCTTCCCGTGAAGCTGTTCCTTACAGTGCCTGCTCTGTCATCTAAATCACTAGATTTTAGGACATAACATATAAAAAACAGAGGCCATACGTAGCCCTTTACTTTACACTGCCACTTACAATACAGGTTTTGCAGTGTTTTGAGATCCATAAGCTGAGGTGCAGTCCTGGCTGGAATGAAATCAGTCATCTAAGTGCTAGATAAAACTCAGTTTTAAAAAAAACAGCTCTAGGCAAAAATAAATGCTTATGGATGAGAGAGGCCCTTTCCAAGAAGGTTTCCTGTACTGTCTCAGGAGGTGCTTCACACAGGCTCATCTTTCTCATGGGCTGGAATGGGCTGCTCTGCTCCCAGGCTGGTGTCCCCTGCAGCACTGACAGCCTCTGCAGCACAGATCTCAGGTGTCTCATGGCTGAAAGTGTGTGAAGGTGTTCCCTGAACTGCTCAGACTACATGGAGGGGAATTTCTTCTTTCAGAAGCTAATATGGAATCCCCCCACATACAGGGCTGGCTGGCCTCTGGCTCTCACCTGGGGTTGTGGTAGCAGATTTCTCGCTCTCTCTCAGGATTTTTCGTAGAGGTGCACAGAGAGACAGAAAGAGAAAACTATTTATATTTCTGCTCCTTGTTTTTCTCATGTGGATTGTGTTTGGATAATTGTTTACCTGGAGTGAGTGCTTGATTGGATTCTGGTGAGGATTGTTTGAACCTGATGGCCAATCCAACCCACCTGGGTCTGAACTCTGGAGAGGGTCACCAGTTATGTTAGTTAGAGATAGAGTTAGAACAAGTAGGCTTGTAGTTTTTGGTATCTTCCTTTACATAGTATATTAATGTATTTTTGCATAATTATAATAAAGAAATAATTCAGCCTTCTGAATTGAGTCAGACATCCTCATCTCTTCCCATCGGGTTTGCTTGCATTTACAACATGGGGTAGCCCAGTGGCCACGGCTGTGCCTTGCTTTGTGTTGGGACTACTGACAATCTGAATTTGGGGTGTCAGGGTGGAAGGAGCTGACGCATCTGTGCTCAGGTCACTCTGCTTGCCTCTTTCCTCTTTTGGGCTTTCTCTCCTTGTCCCCTGACCAATGTGCCACGAGCTCGCTTGTTTTTGGAGAAGATTTTCATAAGAAGTCTATCAATACTTCTGTTTTGCCTAAAAGTAAAAGGCATCCATGACCTTTACTCATATAATGAATTCAAAATTTCAATCAAGAATGCTGCCCTGGGCACATATTGGTTAGCCAGGTAGTGTCCCTGATCATTTCATTGACTTTAGCTGTGGGTGGCCTGGGCTGGAGGCTCAAGGTGTGGCCCAGGTTAGGTTCAGGAGTTGTATTTAGCTTTGCAAGGCTGCAGCCTGGCCTGTGAAGAGTCAACAGAGGCTTCAGCTCTCAAACATTTACTTAGGTGCTTTGCACTGGGGCCAGCTGAGTGACTCAGAGCACAAAATGAAGCACAGATGTAGGTCTTAGCAGGAACTGAGACTTCACCTTATGAACCAGGCCAGGCTGTGGTGTACCCTGGGTGAGCAGAGTAGTGTTAGCCTCAGTTTGTCAAGATGTAAAATAGAGATCACTCAGTGTTGCAAAGCTCTCAAGATCCTTGCCTGGGAGTTTTTATTTAAAACTTAAATTCAGCATTAAAGGGCACATTGCTAAGGGCCTCTGCTTTTTATATGTTATGTCCTAAAATTTAGTAATTTAACCCTCCCATTCCTTAATGCTTAAAGTCAAAAGCTTATTAATGGTATAAATTTGTCTTAATTATATATAATATTTATATATGTATATAATGTTTTTAGCTTGCTCTGTTACTTGTTGCCATTGTGGAGAGAAAGGGCCATGTTATCAATTGTTTAAATAAACAATATTTATTAAAATCAATAATTTTTCCCACGCATATTTGTTATAGAGAATATCTCCTCTGCTTAGCCTTATTATTTTAAGTATAGTACCCATGTGAATGACATGTTCATCAAGACATCTAGCATTCAGTAAGTCAGGATTATTTTAACATTTATTAAGTTGTCAGGATGATTTTAAAATTTAGTAGGTGGAAGAAGATGTATTTTCTGTAATTTTTTACAAAACTTCTAAGTCTCCTGTCTTCAAAATATTTGGCTGAATTTTCTAATATTCAAAAATGGAATTTGAAAATGTTATCCAACTAGTTGCTGAAAAAATGGCAAATTTTTAGTAGAGCCAGAATTTTCAACAATTTTTTCAGGGCAAATATACGCTATTTATAAGGAAGTGTTTGGTAATTTGTTATGGATCTGTTAGAAGAATCTAAGTAGCTCATAAAATTAAATCATTTTATTCCAGTTAAGATTCAAGCTATTGTTCTGGTATTCAGTAAGATATGGTGCCAGTCTTTCCAATATAGTTGGGTTTGTCATCTTACTAACATAATAAATATATTTTTAAATTGTATATTAGTATTGTTTTACCTAAACAATGAAAGCCAAAGCTGGCAACCTGCTCCATTTTCATGCATTTGTTCCCTACTTGGAACAAAATGTGAAACTTAATTCAGCAATGTGCCAAGCCACCAGGGCAGAGCAAGGTTTGTAGAGAGATTATCTTTTTGTTTAAACTTGTGGGAGAAAAACATGTGGGCTTTCAGGCTCCCAATGCTTTCTGAAATTCAGAGTCATCAGCCTGCAATAGAAATACCAGCCCCATTCAGAGGGAGGGTGAAAATCCAACTTTATGTTCAGCTGTGTTGTGTGATTTCTTAAATCATATTTTCCACAAGCAGTCACAAGCCTTTCTTCCCAGTGTTTGCATTAACACCATTAATTTTATTGTGAATAGGTTCAAAACAGTAAGGAATTGCCAGGTGGTGGTAAAAGGATACAGGGTCAAGTAATACAAGACTGAATTAAAACATTGCTGAAAGCATTTTAAAAAGAGCAGTGCCCCAGTCCTGCACCCTCCAGGGACAGCAGCAGGTTCCAGGGAGCAAAGGGAACCCTCTGAGCCCCCACTGAGCCTGCCAGCCCAGGAGAACTGGAGCTGCAGGGAGAGGAGATTGTGCCTTGGTGTTCAAGGAGAAGGGAATTGGCACTAACCCATGGCCTTTCCAGACTGAACTGACTTTATGTAATGAAAATGCAAATCACCTATCACAAATGCAGCCATTACAAATGTGTGAATTTGCTGTGAAATTACTTTCAGATGGGGGAATCCAGCTGAAATTTTCCCCAGCAGTGTTTCTCATGGACCTTATAGGCACAGCTTTCCCTGTGCTTGCAGTGAGAGCTGCAGAAGCCAGGAGGGAGCACTGGAGGGATTGATCCATTACGTTTCCCTGACATCTGGTAGTCTTGCATGGGTTAGGTCTTGTTGAGTGTATTCTGAACTACCCACAGTACTCTATGACTGTAATTTTCAGGGGGTATTTTTCTTATAATTAGCCACAGTTTACAAATGGTTTTCCCCTCCTGTATCTCTTGAAACTGTGATTCTCCCTCTAAAATACTTATAACTGCAATCTACTTATTTCTCTTGATTGTGACCAGAAAAATGTATGGCATTTAGTGTGTTGCAATATGGAAAATTTGATGCAAGTAGAACAGAAAGATTCTAACCAAACTTAGAGAAGATGAGCTTGATCCTATGTCAGTGCTGTACTTCCCTCCTGAACAAGCAATTATAATTTAAGATGTAACATACTGGATCAAAATTATAATATATTGTACTAGATACAACTTAGGAAACCTGTAGCTACCACCCTTTCAGGAATAATTCTTCATTTAATAAATGAGTTTTAACTTGAGGAAAGCAAACAATGAGTAACAACTACTCAACTACACAATCAGGCGAGGTGTGCCTACATCAGTCTGGCATTCAGCTGGAGTCAGAATTTGGGATGGGCCCAGAGTTTGTACTTAGCATTGGTACAGGCTTTATCTGTGGCTGTGATATACTGCAGGTGAGTTAGCAGTTCTGTCTTAGGTTAAATTGCCATTTCTTATATTTTGGCTACTGCTGTTCAATGCCAAATAAATTACAACCTGCACATGCTGCAAATTACAGGCTAATTCTGCTGTAATTGATAAACCAAATGGAAGGTGCACCTGTATCAGCAATGGCAAGCCTCCTACTGAAATATTATTAGGAAATAATAATGAACAGGACAAAAATATCCTGAGTGTTGGCTCTGACACTCCTCCAAGTCACATCTCTACATCAACTCTCAGCTGGAACACCAGGCAGGAGGGTTGAACTTCCAGGAAAAAAATGTTGGCAAAAGGATAAAAACAACGGGAAATGATTGTCCCACAAGCACAGGCCTGACACCAGGGCATGGAAAAGGAATCTCAGTCGTCTTCAAGGATTCAGCAACACTTCTAATTAGGGTTTCTTCTTATAAAGAAATGTGCTGCTGACAGCTCACCACCTGCCAGGACCGAGCTGATGGGAGCTCATACCCTATGTGTTATGCTGGGAATGAAATTCATGGGTTCATTTCCCCACTAAAACATGAGATTAACAGATAGTTCTTGGTTTGGGCAGTAGTGTGAGTACATATAGGCAGATATACACCCCATCCCTGACCCCTTCCAGGCAGACCAGGCTGCTCTGCGAGGTCTTTACAGCCACATGAGAGGCTCAGGCTTAGACCAAGTCACTGCCTGGTATTGGTGTCCTTCCCAGTCCCATCCATGCTGACACTCCAGTCTACAACACAGTCTCATTTCCCCCAGAGTATGAGATTGTTTGGCTCTGCAGCCTTTTGGGGTCTTGGGAAGGGCAGGGGCCATTTGCTGTTGACCTATAATTGTTCTGCTTCCACAGTGAGAGCCATGGGATGCTGGGAAATATCAATGCAAGTTTGCTGTGGCAAATTTCCTGCTATGACAACTTTCTGCAGAGTGCTGCCAACACTTGCTGCTCACTTTGTGCTCAGAGTCCACAGGCACAGCACCTTTTACTGAGCTGCCAAGAGGCAACTGCAGTGCCTGAGTCAAGGAGCTCTCATCTGACCCTTAAATGGGGAACAACACATTGTCATAGGCAAGGGCGTCTCACCAGGAAAGCAGCTTTCACAATGGCAGGAAATATCTGCCAGACAAGAGAAAAGGGAGCTGGCCCAGGAGCTGCAGCACTTGTGTGATTTTTAGACACCTGGTCTTTGCTTCACACTTCCTGTGTGACGGGGCAAGTTGTTTGAGCACATGAATCACTTTGTACTTTCTCATCAGTTTGTGAACACATTCAGGCATGTCAGTGGGAACTAGGAGCCAAGATAATTTGTTCATCTGCCCCTAAATGTCACCGCACCCCAGTCCTTAATCTCTAGGGTAGGAACCCCAACATTTCCTGGTCTGTAGTAAGGATAACCCCATGAAACATAACATGACTCTTTGAGGACTTAAGGATATCTCAAATACAATTTCAAAGTAATAATAAATAAATGTCTTACGGTATGCAGCTGGCTCTCTTTGGCACTGTAAAAACTCCACTGAATAAAGAAATTTTCCAGGGGTCCATTACTGCTGTATGTGCAGAGGAGGGTTGCATTTCCACCTGTGGTGACATTCACTGTCTTCTCAGGGACGGTCACCACGACCCCACTGGTGTGGCCTGTGGGCAGGAAATGTGGAGAGGAGAGATCAGTTAGGGCTGGCTCTGGGAGCCCTGCAGGAATTAACTACTGGGTTATTGAAGAAACTGTAGGAGTGTCTGGCTGTTCTCCTTTTCAGTACAGTTTCCCTTGGGCTTTGTGTGGAAATTTCAGAGATAACAAGCTGGGACTGGGTAAAAGCTAGCAAGCAAATAAATCCCCCAGAATACTCGTGCCCTTACAACAAATAGTATTCTTAAAAAGCAGAGTTCCTAAACCCAGACTTGTTCTCATTGGCTGATACTCATCTTCTCACTAAGAGTCTGTGGTTAAACTCAACCTTTCTTCTGCACTCACAATGCTCTCCTGTGCTTGCACTCTCAGTCTCAGTCACAGCTGTGTCTACCCCTCTCTTACATCTTTCTTGTCCTTTTTTTTTTTTTTTTTTTTTCCAGTTATTTCATTTTTTTTTTTCAGTTATTTCATTAGAATTCTGATCTCCTTCATTGTGGAGCATCATCACCTACAGTATTCTCACTTCACAGGCCCTTATGTTCTGACTGGGACTCGGTGGCACTGTTGGATCCCTCAGGCTGGGCCAGCAGCTTTTCTTTTGCTAATTAATTTGCTTTTGTTTAGGTTTCTAAGTGTTTACCTTCAGGAGCTGGGTTTTTTTCCCAATGCTATTACATTGGAAAAATCAAACAAAACTTTTTGGAAGTGCTTTCACTGTGTGGGTTGCAGGGAGCTCTTTGGTAGCAGAAAGGGAACAAACACAACTTGTGAGCCCTTCCCAAGACTCTGATCAGTCTTAACTACACAACCACAGTAATGAAAGGAATCAAGCACCACCTTACAGTATTTATCTGTTTCTATCCTCTGTGAATTAGCCATGATGCCACATGACAGCAAAGATAGAGCTGTCAGAAAAATAGGTCTTAATTTCCAGGTTTTGGTAGGTCACTGAATCCAGTTTGGAAGTTAATGTCTAAAGAGTCTGACTGAGAATGTTTTTCTTTTGAATGGGGCGGAAAACATTAAACATTCTGGAGCTTTCTCTGCAAAATAGGCAAGGTGAGAATTTAATGTTATAATCATTTTCATATGGGTTTACTGCATATATTGATGATTGAGACAAAGATGTAAAATATTTTTCTCAATGCAGGATCTATGCATCTTATTTTGGGGTGCTGCTTTTGAGAGTTAAGCAGAATCTGCAGTAATACTATAGAGTATTTTGCTGAAATTAACAGCCCTGTGTGAGAAAAAAAATTGTTTGTAGAAAGAAACTATCTATTTTGTCTTTTTAAACCATGTAAATACAGTAAATTCATGAGTTAATACAATATGCCAACCTTTCTGAACTGTTTTCCTTGTTTGATGGCTGTAACAGTAAAATCTCACTGTGAGGAGAAAAGGAAAAATATATTTCCGTGTTGATGGTAGCTAGGATGAAAATTAATGGGTTTAAACTACAAGAAGATTTATATTATATGTGAAGACATATAATATAGTGTCACAGGAATGGCTGGAGACTGACCTAAATGTGTCAAACCTGCCCTGGGGAAAGAGGGGATCCCAGGAGTGGTTGCCTGTTCTGCTTGTCTTGTGAGTTCACAGCAGCTTAGTCCTTACTGAGATCTGATAGAAAAGCTGTGCCACATTATTTTAGGAATCTCAGTTCACTGTTCTCAGCTTTAAGAATTAGTGTTGGCCGGAGGACAATCATTTCCTGGCACAGTTGATGTGTATTTATTTTCTGCGCTTTGCAGGATTAAAGGTACTCTCTTTCAACACAATGTTATTCTGCTGAAAACATCCATCCAGAGTCATCTGCTCCACATATTTACTTTATCATTCTCTGGTTTTAGAGTCAGGAGTGCCACAGAGTTTGACTGTTAAAAGCTTTTCCAGAATAAATTAATTTTAGCAAAATATACTCCACAAAGCCTTCTAGTTTCCATAAAACTATATTTTGAATACATTTAATTGAAATAATCTTCATTTGAGTAAAAAGGCTGTTTAAACCAATGCTAATTGCAACATGGATTTTTTGACTGACAGCAGAGTGAACTGGCCCTACAGAGGCTGTTTCCTCACTATGAATGTTAATGGCAGTTTCACTTTTCATTTATGGCTTCCAACCCCTAATCTCCTTTCCTGCATACAGGCCTTTTGGTTTAAATTTTTGAAAGTGCACAAATAAGAAATAACACAGTGAAAACAGCTTGTGTGAACAGGACAATAACTTGTTAAAAATGGCTGATCCACTTCTTTACTCATCAATATCATAGTGAGACTGTTTCCTTCCCACAGAGAAAGTCATTGCAGTGAATAAGGAATCTGCCACTTTCACTGAAGTCCTTTGCAGTTTTTAACACTCATGAAATAAATCCAAGTTTGCTGATCTTTTCTGAGCCACAACAGAAACCCCCAGTCAGTAGTGCCCTCCAACATGGGCACATTGCTAGTCTTAAATCCAGAACTTTCAAAGTAGAGGATATTGCTTTGAAAAGTATATATGGTACCACTTCTGAACTACTTTTCCTATCTAAGGTAAAAATCTGTTGGGGGTATATGTTTGTGAGAGTTAGAACACTGAAACTCCAGGAGTAGCTAATTAAAATATTTCTATAGCACCCAAATCAGATCATTCCATCTGGAAAAGATGTGGAAACAAACTTTCATTTTCTGTAGTGGATAGAGGGGCTGTTTATCTCCATGAAGCATTAAAATAACTGCTTCTGTATATATTAAAAGTAAAGCTTAGCACAGTGAAATGCCCTTGAAATATGAATAATACATAGTTTTTACTATACCATAAAATTCCTGGGTTCACAAAATATTATGTCCTCATTTAATTAAAATATTCTTTGCATGCTTAAAGTTAAGCATATCTTTTGGTGGTAAGCAAAATTTTTTGGAGGTTGAGGGACTGAGGCATCATTTTCCAGCCCTATTATCAAGGGGAGACAAAGGCAAATATGGAAAAACCTGACCTTGAAACACCTGAAAGACCTGAACCCTCCATACTTCTGTGCATGGCAGGAAGAGGTTCTTTGCCTCTTCCTGACATCAGAGCAAAGCATTAATCTACCAAAGCCAAAATTCTGTTCTTGAGCAGAAAGCTCAAAACCAGACCGGGGTCAGTTTGTGGATTTCCAGAGGATGGTCTGGCAATATAGCCATAATTTTTATCCTATACTGAAATAATTCATCTCAAAAATTCCCCCAGTTTGCCAGTCAGGTTCATCTGTTCTCTTACTTCCACAGGCTCCTTTGTTCCAGCGCTATTTCGATCAGTTTGTTATTCTTACCTGCAAGGATGGCTAGAATTGGAAATATCTTCAGCATTGTTGCACACACCTCCTTGATGCTGGGAGAGAAAAGAGACCAGATGCTGCTTCTGGCTTCGACTGAAACTGAACTGGTTTATTTTTTGAAGTCGGTTTATTGTTTCCCTTATCAGCTGTGTAGCAACACGTCAGTGAGCTGTTTAATTCTCCTTTATCTTATGTGTGCCTTTCTCCGACTAGTGGTGTGACTGTTCACTTCAAACCATTCTGTGGGGTCTGAGCAACTGAGGGTTTTGTTAATAATAAACCTTTGAATCAGAGAAGCCCAAATTCTCCCACTTTTGCCAGGCCCTGCAGTATTTGCCTATCTAAGTACTTCTGAGTACAAGAAAAGTATTTAGCAGTCAACCTGATTACTAGTGTTGGGGTCAGACCTAATATGAATAATCTTTATTTCCTGTTAATTCTGTAATTTCCTTTTAAAAATGGGCATGTGTAGATAATTCATTGTCAGTACATTTTCAATTCAAAACGTGTATCTTATACATTTTGTTCAGCTTCCTGCAGGAGCCAGATTTGCCTTTTGTGCTCCATGTTGTTTGACAGAGGCTGATTCAAAGCCCTGAGCTGCAATGGGAGTAGCTGGCTCTGGGACACAGCCAGGGGAATGAGTGCCTGAAGACAGAGCAGAGGGCAGCATTGCCTTGTTGTACATGTGTGCCTGCACCTGGGACAGGTAACATGGCCAGGGACTTTTCCTGTGCTTGTTGAAAACATGGGACTAATTCATGCCTGATGATCCCATGGGAAGCCCTTTTGGAAGGTGGGGTTCAGCATCTGGCCATGTGAGGCTGGAGGATCTTCAGCAAAGAAGTCGGGTTGCTGGTTGCATCAGTTACTGCTGGGATCAGGTTTATGCACTATTTTATTCTGCCAGATGTTTCAGTGCATGGCAGATGCCTGAATAATCTCTGGGCAGATGGCAGGGTTTGGTGATATTTTTTTATATGAGCTATCTCCAAAAGTTTTGGAGATGTCTTCTCCTTAGTTCTGACTGTCAGCACTTCACTCAGCACTCCCACAGAGTGGGCAGTGCCTGTCTCTAAAATATAGGAAGGGCAAGTCTTGGAACTGTTAAATGTCTTGTCCAAGAATCACAGGGGACCCAGAGTCCCCCAGTACATTGAAAGACTGAAATTCAAATTCAGATTTCTTCCAAAAGTTGAAAAGAATTTAGATTCACCTTCACTGAGGAAGAGTGGAGGGATCACAAGCACTCATGGGAAGTTCTTACTGGCTTTCCCCAAAGCCTAAAATGGGAGCTGCTGCTGATTTCTAGTCATTTAACCATGGATGACTGCAAATGATCTGAACATGAGACAACCTACAGACATTTCAGTGATTGCCTGTGGCAGCTCCATAATACCCAGGAGACTGACTGGTAGCTCACAGAGCCCTGATCCTTTGCATAAAACAGCAATTTTCAAGAAGATGCAAAAAACCACTGCCACCCTGCTGAGTAAGTCAGCACCTGCACGATCCTGTATTTTTACCACAGTATCTGTGTGTCCTCTAATTCCCTCTCACCTATCAACACTTAAGTCCTTTCCCTGGCATTTAAAGCTCCCTCAGCTAATATGTATTTTTGCTTTGTTACATTCACTTTTTACCAATTTGAGAAAATGACAGAACTACATTCCTGGAGGGTGAAATGCTCAGTTTGACCAGAGAACAGGAGCCAAGAACACAAATTCTGTATCAACATGTGGCCCTTTAATCTTGAGATGATGGGCTGGGATTACCAGTTACAGAATGGGTATAGCTCATAGCAAAAGATTACAACCATTACCCTGTTTTTCAGAGGATTCTGAACAGCAGGAGTGTTTATGTTTGACTATTCCCCACCTGGGGCTCATTCCACCCAAACCAGATGTTCCCCAGCACTATTCCTGCAGGCCTGCAGGGTCACTCTCCTGTGAAGGTAATAGATGGCCCCTGTCAGCTGCTGACTTTGCTTCTAACCCATTGCTCCTGGAGAACAGCACTGCCTGTTCAGGGGAGCTGAACACAGAAAACAAAATCTGCTCGGGTTGGTGTTTTAAATTACACTGGGAAAAAGAACCTCTTACTTCCAGTGCTCAGCTCAGAGGAGAGAACAGCCCAGAGTACAGCAGTCACTTTGGGTGGAGAAAAGACTCCTATCTTGAGATAAAATGGAAGGGGCCACTACCAGGAGCTGTGTGTTAAGACTTTGTGAGTCAAGCCTGTGTACACTGAAGTGTATTCAGAAATGTTCCCTTTCAAGCAGCTCCCATGTATTCACTCTCTAAACAGAAGTGTCAGTCATTAAAGAATGAAGCTCAGAGGCAAACCCCAAGCAAGGCAGCATTATCCAAACAGAGCACTGCTAGGATATTTAGGAGTTGCTTCTGTTGGCCTGAAACCTAATTAAAAAACTTCCTGTTGAATTCCATGTTTTGCTTGACAAAGCTCAGCAATGTTCCAACTGCTGTCTTCTGAAATAAGCTAAATCTGTAATTGTGTGACGACACTAAACTCAGTCTAACCCAGTGATTTATAAAGGTCTCTAGTTCAATATCACAGCTGATGGCTGAGGATGAAGAGAAGTGTGAAATTAAAAATTCCAACAAGTGCAGTGAAAGAGTTGCTTTAAGCCTCTAAATCCATCATTAGGTTGATTTTCAAATGCACAGTAGTTTGCTTGCTTATTGCACAGCCTTGTTTATGGTTTAAAAACTATTTATAAGCTTTTGTGGAGTGTTTGCTGCCTAAAAGCTAATTAATGAACTCACTGTTATTTTTCATCTTGTAGAGAATGAAAGTCTGTAAGGTAACAAAAATATACACTCTTCTGGGGAGAGCACATGGCTTGTCACTTCAAAGTAACTTGGTCAGAAATATACCTAACCCTCTGTATTCAGTCCCCAGAATGAGAACAGTTTATTATCAAAAAGCACAATTCTGTTTCCTTGGAAAGGGTATAGAATGGTCTTTATTTTTATATTGTCCCTTTTCTCATTTCAGAAAGATCTATTTTCCTTTTAGCCATTCAAAAGCCAGAGTTTCCTAAAGCAAAATCCTCGTCAAAAAAAAGCTTTCTTCTTTCTCGTGGGAAAAAAAGGAGAATTAAGCACTGAAGTGAGATGAAGCACTCACCCACTGCTCCTGTCGTGCCTTGGAGGATGCTCCCAGTGCCTCTGCCTGCCTGGGCACTGCTCTGGCCCCAGACTCTCTGACAGACACAGACCATGGAGGAAGTTTTCTTATCCTGTATTGCTTTGGGAAACTGAAGCCTGCTGCAGTCAAAATGATTTGTTTGTGTGCAACACCTCGCAATACAACTGTGACACTTGTACCCACAGCAGTGTGTAGTCACTGAGTTCCATGTGGAATTAATGTCACTGTAAGCATCTGGACACATTTGTGGATCTGGCTCAGGCTTTTTGTGTTGACAGGAACACTCCTCTGATCTTCCCGACCTTCTGACCCGAGGAAAAAATGAAAAGCAGAGAAACAGCTGCTCATGATGCTGCCCCAGACCTCCTGGGGATGCTGGTGGAGCATCCACATACTCTGGGGTTAGGCTGCCTTGGATTGTGCGGGGCGGGATGATGGGAGTGCTGGAGGGAGTTTTGTTGCAGAGGCAGGGCATGGTTCTGCAGCTGTTGTGGTGTTAATATACAAAGTAAATTTTAACACCTGGTGTGCTCCACAAGTGCCCTGATGGATGCAGGATGAAGAATGACTTTCTAACATAAAGTGCCACCATCAGAGAATCCATTTCTGCTCCGTGGCCAAGTGTCAAATCCAAAGCAAGCTCTCCCCTGCATGGTAAATCACAGTAAAATGGTTCTGCCTTTGTACCATTGCTGTTCCCTTGGATTTTCATTGACTGTATAATCTTTTCCCTGCATATCATTAACACTCCTTATATTTGCTGAGTTGAACACTACGCTCGTTCCCCAGCAGCCCTCTTCCCTCCCTCCTGTCCCCGGGCACAGACCGAGGGGAGAGGATCAGGTTTTGTTTCAGAAGGAGGCAGCTTTGCCATGTTGAAGGGAAGATGGGGCTGCTGCTCTGTCTGCTCCGGCTGCGAGGCTGCTCCGAGCCCTGGGGGCGCCTTCCTGCCTACACCTCCTCTCCGAACACCTAAGAACTTATGTCTGCTCTTCTAACACCTTACACCCCTCCCAACACCTTGCCTTTCCACGGCGGGTCCTGCCCTGACTGAGACAAGGGTGGCACTAATTACTTTGTCTTAATATACAATAATAGTATTCGGCAGGACTGAAAGGATCCCCAGCGCAGGCTGCCTCCAGCCCCACCGTTCCCCTCATAGGTCCCGCTGACCCCCGCCCCTGCTTCTTCCCGGGTTTCCGTCTGGAAAACGTTTATCCGCCCGGGGATAGCCCCGCCCCGGGATAGATAGCCCCGATTCGGGATGAATAGCCCCGATTCGGGATGGATAGCCCCGATTCGGGATGGATAGCCCCTCCCCGGCATAGATAGCCCAGCCCCGGGATGAATAGCCCGGCCCCGGGATGGAACGCCCCGCCCCGGCACGGATAGCCCGGCCCCGGGATGGCTGGTCCGGCTCCGGGATGTGCAGCCCCGCTCCCGCCCCGCGCCGCCGAGGGCAGGTAAGGGCTGCGGGGCTTGGCCGTGCGGGGCACAGCCCCGGTGTGCGGGGGCGGGAGCGCAGCCCCGGGCCGGGCTCGGTGCGAGCGCTCCGTGTCCGTGTCCGTGTGCCGTGTGCCGTGTCCGTGTGCCGTGTCCCTGTGTCCCTGTCTGTGTCCGTGTGCCGTGTCCGTGTGCCGTGTCCGTGACCGTGTCCGTGTGCCGGGTCCGTGTCCGTGTGCCGTGTCCGTGTGCCGTGTCCGTGACCGTGTCCGTGTGCCGTGTCCGTGTCCGTGTGCCGTGTCCGTGTGCCGTGTCCGTGTGCCGGGTCCGTGTCCGTGTGCCGTGTCCCTGTCCGTGGCCGTGGCCGTGGCCGTGTGCCGTGGCCGTGGCCGTGGCCGTGGCCGTGTGCCGTGTCCCTGTCCGTGTCCGTGTGCCGTGTCCGTGTCCGTGTACCGTGTCCGTGTGCCGTGCCCGTGTGCCGGGTCCGTGTGCCGGGTCCGTGTCCCTGTCCGTGTCCCTGTCCCTGTCCCTGTCCGTGTGCCGGGTCCGGCCGCCGC